CTCACCAAATAAGTCACAATTTTCTTAAATGACATTATTTTATACACAGATTTTAACTTCTATTGACTCATTGAGCAACATCAGATCCACCAAATATTTTAGACGAACAACAAAATTATTCACAATCAAATAAACAAAGAATTGAGCTAATCTTACAAGACTTTCTAACAAACCCTAAGCACGTCTCAATTTTTTTTTCTTATCACACTCAAATGAGGGAAAATCGGAGATTACATAGAGACAGGACTTGTTGGGTTTACCGTTAAAGCTAGAGAATAGGTCTTAATAAGCTAGTTTTTAGGAGTTGATTTATTCCAGTTTGTTATATTCTGTTTTCCTTATTTTTCTCTATTTCAGTTACACTTAAATTGTAAGGCTTTATAAAAGCTGTAGCAGTCTTTTGAATAAACGATCAAGTATTCTAGCTTACGTTTCTGTTCTATTTCCTTTATCTGGCATCAGAGCTCGAAAGGGCCTGATAATAGTAATATACAAATTGAGTGTTTGAGAGGAAAAACACTGAGAGGAAGTAGGGAAAGTCTGCAATAGTGTTTGAGAGGAAAAACACAGAAGAAAGGAAAAATGGCAGCAGAAAGTTTCTCAACACCATGCGTTCCGAAGTTCGATGGTGACTATGATCACTGGAGCTTACTTATGGAAAATCTCCTCCGCTCCAAGGAGTACTGGAGCGTCATTGAACCAGGGCTCGAAGAGTTGAAGGGGACCGAAGGCATAAGCGCGAAGGCACTCGACGAAGCAAAACTCAAAGATCTCAAAGCAAAGAACTATCTTTTTCAGTCCATAGACAAGAGCATCTTGAAAACCATCACCCAGAAGGAAACAGCCAAACAGTTGTGGGATTCAATGAAAGTCAAGTATCAGGGAGGTGCTAGAGTGAAGCGTGCACAGCTACAACGGCTTCGCAGAACATTTGAAACCCTAGAAATGAAATTGGGAGAAGGTGTTTCTGAGTACTTCGCAAGAGTCATGTCTACTGCCAATGAAATGAGGAACTGTGGAGAAAACATGAATGATGTTAAAATTGTTGAAAAAATACTTCGAAGTCTTACGGACAACTTCAACTTTGTGGTATGCTCCATCAAAGAGTCCAAAGACATTGATGATATGACAGTAGATGAATTGCAAGCATCTCTGCTTGTACATGAACAAAAGGTGATTGAGAAAAGAAGTGAAGAACAAGTTCTACAGGTGGAGAACGAGCAAAGGAATGTACAAGGAAGAGGCAGAGGCATATATCAGAGAGGAAATGGCAACTCTAGAAGCGGTAACTTCAGAGGCGGCAACTTTAGAGGACGAGGAAGAGGTAGATCTTTCGTTAACAGGTCAGCCATTAATTGCTTTCGATGTGGAAAGCAAGGACATTATCAATTTGAATGCTCAAGTCTGGAAAAAGGAGTCAATTATACCGAGTTCGACGAGGAAGAAGAACTCCTCTTAATGGCACACACAGAAGTCAGTAAATCTGAAGGAAAAGGTATTTGGTTTCTCGACTCTGGGTGTTCAAACCATATGACAGGAGACAAAACTTGGTTTGTTGAGTTCGACGAAAGCTTCAAGCATTCTGTCAGATTGGGTAACAGCTCAAGGATGGCGGTTCAAGGAAAAGGCAGCGTCAGGTTTGAAGTACAAGGAATCACACAAACCGTGTCTGACGTCTATTATGTTCCAAATCTCAGCAACAACCTATTAAGCATAGGACAGCTACAGGAGAAACGCTTAGTGATCATAATTAAAGAGGGTACTTGCAGAATCTATCATCATCAAAGAGGTTTGATAGTAGACACTCCAATGACTATGAATCGTATGTTCGTGGTCTATGCAAAGATGAAACCACTGCCCGGCAGTTGTTTGAAGATGGAGGAAGAAGACTTGGAGAATCTATGGCACAAGAGATATGGGCATTTAAATAACAAGTCCATCCAAATAATGCAGCAAAAACAAATGGTAAAAGGGTTACCAAAGTTGAAAGAAGCAGCCAAGATTTGCAAGGTATGCAATGTGGGAAAGCAGCAGCGGGGGAAATTTCCGAAGAAAAGTGGCTGGAGGGCATCAGAAAAATTGGAGTTAATTCATGGAGATCTGTGTGGACCAATCACTCCAATCTCTCACAGTGGTAAGAGGTATTTGTTAGTGTTTGTAGACGATTTCTCTCGGAAAACTTGGATCTATTTTCTTGCAGAGAAAGCAGAATCCTTTGAGGCATTTAAAACCTTCAAAAGTTTTGTTGAAAAGGAAGCAAGGACTTCCATATGCGGACTAAGAACTGACAGGGGAGGAGAATTTACGTCAAATAAATTCAACCAGTTCTGCAAGGATCATGGCATAAGGCGACAATTGACAGCGGCATACACTCCACAGCAAAACGGAGTGGCAGAAAGAAGGAATCGAACCATCATGAACATGGTGCGCTGTTTGTTATCTGAGAAGGAGATGCCGAGATCCCTATGGCCAGATGCAGCGAGATGGACGGCTCACGTCTTGAATCGAAGTTTTACAAAGGCGGTAAAAGATATGGTACCGGAAGAAAGGTGGACAGGAATAAAACCAAAGGTGGACTACTTCAGAGTATTTGACTCCATTGCACATGTACATGTCCCTGAACAGAAAAGAGTCAAACTTGACGATCGAAGTCACAAATGCATCTTGCTTGGGGTCAGTGAGGAATCTAAAGCTTACCGGCTGTATGATCCGGTAACAAAAAGGATAATTATAAGTAGGGATGTCATATTCGAAGAAGGCGGTAAATGGGATTGGAACTTGAACGCAACAGACGTAAAGCAGAATGTTCTTGCATGGGGAGAAGATGAAGTTGTGACAGAAGAACCTGAAGCAGAAGATACTGATGAGGATGTTGAAGAAATTGAATACGACAGTGCAACGGAGTTTCCAGAAACTGAAGAGTCAGCACCTGAAGAACGAACAAGAAGAGAGAGAAGGAAGCCTAGTTGGATGAGTAATTATGAAAGCGGTGAAGGCTTATCTGAAGAAGAGGTACCAGAACAAAACTTAGCCTTGTATATCTCTCATGATGATCCAGTAAGTTTTGATGAAGCTGCGAAGGAAGAAAAATGGCAGGAGGCCATGAAGCTTGAAATTCAAGCTATAGAGAGAAACCAGACTTGGGAGCTTGTGTCACTGCCACATCAAGCAAAAAAAATTGGTGTTAAATGGGTATACAAAACAAAATTGAATGAAGAAGGTAAGGTGGACAAATGCAAAGCTAGACTAGTTGCCAAAGGGTATTCACAAACAGCAGGAGTAGACTACAATGAAGTGTATGCACCGGTGGCTCGTTGGGATACCATCAGAATTCTCCTGGCAGTAGCAGCTCAGCGTGGTTGGTGTGTCTACCAACTTGACGTTAAAAGTGCTTTTTTGTACGGAGAATTAAAGGAGGAGGTATACATCGATCAACCGGAAGGGTTTATCAAAAAGGGAGAGGAAGATAAGGTGTATCGGCTAAAGAAGGCGCTCTATGGCTTAAAGCAAGCCCCAAGAGCTTGGTTCAGCAGAATCGAGAGTCACTTTAAGAAGGAAGGGTTTCAGAAAAGCAACTATGATCACACCTTGTTCTTGAAGAAAAATGGAAACAAGCTATTGGCGGTAAGTCTTTACGTTGACGATTTAATATATACCGGAAATGATGAGCATATGTGCATAGAGTTCAAGTTGTCAATGCAGAAGGAGTTCGAGATGACAGACTTGGGCAAAATGAAGTTTTTTCTTGGAGTTGAAATCTATCAGCGTAATGATGGAATTCACTTGTGCCAAAAGAAGTATGCTAAGGAAGTCTTGCAAAGGTTCCATATGTGGAGTTGTAATGCTGTCAAGAATCCAATTGTTCCTGGTACTGTTCTGTCAAAGGAAGGCAGCAACGGTGTTGATGCAATATTGTACAAACAACTAGTAGGGTGCTTAATGTATCTAACGGTAACGCGTCCGGATTTAATGTTTGTGGTATGCTTAATCTCTCGTTATATGGCTGAACCTAAAGAAGAACACATGTCGATTGCAAAGCGAGTACTGAGGTACTTGAAAGGAACACTGGAACTGGGAATTTTTTACAAGAAAAGCACAAATGCGAATCTGCTGGGATACACAGACAGCGACTACGCACGAGATATGGACGATAGAAAAAGTACTTCGGGCTATGTATTTCTACTAAATGGAGCAGCAATCTGTTGGAGTTCAAGAAAACAAGGGATAGTGACTCTCTCATCTACAGAGGCTGAGTATGTAGCTGCCACTGCCTGCGCATGTCATTGCGTCTGGCTGAAAGGAATTTTGAAAGAGTTAAGCTTCAAAGACTGTAATTGCATTCACATAATGTGTGATAACAGTTCGGCAATTAAACTATCCAAGAATCCAGTGATGCATCGAAGGACAAAACACATTGATGTTAGATATCATTATCTACGCAATTTATCAAGTGAAGGAGCTGTGAAGTTAGCATTTTGTGGAACTGATGATCAAGTGGCAGACATCATGACTAAACCTATTAAGTTGGATCAGTTTGTGAAACTTAGAGGTTTGCTTGGTGTTCAACGACCTGAGGAGTAAACTGATGCTCGTTAAGCATGTGTCAGTTTAAGGGGAGGAATTTGTTGGGTTTACCGTTAAAGCTAGAGAATAGGTCTTAATAAGCTAGTTTTTAGGAGTTGATTTATTCCAGTTTGTTATATTCTGTTTTCCTTATTTTTCTCTATTTCAGTTACACTTAAATTGTAAGACTTTATAAAAGCTGTAGCAGTCTTTTGAATAAACGATCAAGTATTCTAGCTTACGTTTCTGTTCTATTTCCTTTAGGACTTGCAATGCAAATACATCATTGTCAACATAGGGAAGCATGATTTGTCCAATGGTTGATTGCTATGTATCTTTCCCCCACCTGGATTGTATATGTTCTTGATATACATACATCAAATATACAGTTTATGAACGTGTTTGCCGCCGCTGGCATTCTTGTTGTCGTGTTAAATTTATAAACCAGTGGGAAGTGGTGATTCCAGAGAAAATACACTTTTGAAAAATTCATATGAAGCAAAGAACAGTGATCCTTGAGACATGTACATAATCAACCTCGGTGTTAACCCCCTGAAGCCATACATAAAAGGCAAATCAAAAAACAATGTCATCATGCTAATTGTATCTGAATCAAACTCTCATTATTTATTGTGTGACTCTTGTTTCTGTTATCAGATATTTTCTTCTAATCTAAATCATAACGGCTAGAGTCAGAAAATAATACCTGTATAAGCCCTTCAAACCTTCCGTCTTGCTAATTTTGTAAAGGGCATGAAAAACGCTATCATATTGATTTCTTGATCCCGGAATCTGCAGTGCACTCACTTTCATCAGAAGCATAAAGTAAGAATAGAATCATATAAATCAACAAAAAATAATGTGTTATAATTATTTTTTTAAATATAATTTGGAAATAACTATCATTCAAACTAAAAAAAAACAGTTAAGGATAACAAGATAATAGATATCAAACATCATACATTTATAAGAAGTCTCAGAATGTTACTATTAATAGCTGGCTTCCGTGGTATTCACTAGCAGTAAGAAAATTATATAATTGAAAGATTTGTTAAACACAAACCTGTGTCTGTAATCTTGTCTTGATGACATCAAACGGAGTTGTGAATAAAGCAGCAGTAGATCCAGCTAATCCTCCACACACTAACTACAGAAATTGATACAATCGTCTGATTTTACATTCACTGCGGTGAGAGAGAAAATGGTAGTTTAAAAACAGCAAAAAAAAGCACTAACTCACAGTCTGAAATGTGTGGGATTGAATACTAGAAGATGGCATCACTTGCTTCAGGCTTTCATATGTGTAAAACTACATAGGAAAATGGAACACAGACAACAGTCACAAAACAAAACCTTGGTTTCTGAAGAACTTGGGAAAGAAATCACAAAGGAATATATGGAGTAATATACACGGTGGGGGCTTGGGTTGAAAACATTAACAATAGTAAATGTTAAGGGGGCTTCTACCACTCGTGTTTAGACATGAAAATTTTAAGGGTCAAATATGGAAAATAGTAAATCGCTGGCATGAGGGACATTAAGGCATACACTATCAATTCCTCATGCTAACCTTGATCATTGAATGTGGGATATTTCGGCACAATACAGCTTTCCAACCTGCATATAGCGAGGAAAGACCACCATTTCTGATAATTCCAATTAATGCATCCCTGCATAGCGGTATGTACATCAAGATGCATGGCAAAGTAAAATTAATACAACTAGGTCTTGCATGGTAAAACAAGAAAGTTGGAAACCATGAGCTTAAACATACATAATAAGGTTCTTCAACTTGATGTGAATATCTAAGACTACCAAATTTATATATAAAAAATTTACAAGAACTTCACAAAAAGTGAACACAAATTACAATAATGGAATACAGTTCATGACAGGCACATAAATCCGGACATGCTTAAAACAAGCAGTTTTATGTCATGACAGCTACAAAGATGATTCAAAGAACCACACATACCAGCAGTTACGATAATGAGACCCAATTTGCATCTGCTGCTTTATTCGCTCACTAGGAGTGAAGATGAAAGATGTAGCAATGCTTGCACAACCACCTCCCACACAATGGGCAAAAGAATAATACTCCTGCATGAAAATATGGCTGAAATCTCATTACACTGATAAGCATAAAAGTTATGGTAAGATCCAGACTAATCCTAGATATTAAAATCTAACGGTACCATGTTGACGGTGACATTTAACTTGCAGTTTCTCTCAGATAGATGATTCCACATAGAAATAAGTAAATCAGGAAGAAGACAAACACAAGACAGCAAGGATAACTGACATGGAGTGACTCCACTTACAAATCAAATACGGAGAAAGACAAGCTACCTTTGGCAGATAAGGAAGCAAAGCTGCTTTAACCGATTCATAAGTGAAAGTATAAACTGCAGAAATTGGAGCTGAACAGGCAATGTTTGTAGTAATTCCACGATATAGTCCAGGAAAACCTGAAATCAATCCACAAACTCGATGTAGAAGCAATCTAGTTGAATATTGAACTCAAAATGAAAAGTAATCTATATGAAACAAGATAAATAAGTTACACAAATATCTTGCAAGAATGCGATTTCACTTAAAAACCAAACCTCTATCAGAAACAATTGATTTGCCAATGTAAAAGATGGACCTCTGCTCTGCACGACATGATTGAATGACTGTCTTGATTGTGTCAACAGGATGCAGACAACAGCTGACACATACTCCAGCCATTGCCCCAGAAAAAGCATGTTCTTGCTTGGCTAGGGAATGGAAAGCCTGCTTATGATTTGCAGAGAAGATCTGAACCTCAGGTTCATCATCATTTATATCTGATAAATGTCTTCTTTGGATTTCCATTAATTCATTATCGTCAATCTTATATTGGCACTGCACAGAAGTACCGTTAGAGATAGCTAAAGAGCTGTTAATATGATAATCTGCATAGACACTAGAAGATAGGGTCTGACAAGCACCAACTTCCATCTGATTATCCGGCACAGCTTGAAGAAAATAGTCCGAACACAGTGGGTTAACTTCTTTTGTGATTGGAACTGCATCATCAGATAAAGATGAAGCTTCATGTATTAGTACATCAGGATTGCATACACCGCTTTCATTAGCCAACGAAGTGGTTCTCATGTCTATTGAAACGCAGTCCCTGGCAACCGAAGAATTAGTTTCCAGATTCCCCGGCTCAGTATCTTTACTCCCAAGTTCCTTTTCATTACAATATCCATTTGAACTTTTATCACGTGCCTGCAAAACACTCTGGAATAAAGAATGAATATAATCTCGCCTTCCATAAGAAGATTTAAGTATCAACATCTTCTGTGTTACCATAGGGAAATCCAATTTTTCATGCAAAATTGGTGAACCGAAGCATGTAGCGTCTGGATTAACAGAATAATAATCAGTTGTATTTGAAGTGACCACGCCATTTCTTTTCTCATTAATGCAACTGAGAATTTTATCTTTTGTGAATCCTTTGCCATCATCTCGGTTCAGATTTTCCTTCCAGAGTAAAACAGAAAGTGGCTGACTAGCGGAATCCCATAACTGACGAATTGCAGAAATGAGCTGAGGTGTTGTCAGAATCTCAGGGGACTTCAGTTGGGAATTTCTACAGGATTGCTTAGTCTCATTATCGGAAAGAGACGGCGAACAATCTACACGAGAAATATCAGCCTTTAAAGATATCCCTCCGTCTTGAATTCGCCAATACTTGACCGAATGCTGATCATTTTTCGGCGATTTAGCACATCCAGACATCTTCTCAAATATAGTTCGAAAATGTCTGGACAGAGTAATCCTGAAAATAAAACAGATTACATTTTCATTTTCAATTGCAAAATTGTACGGTGTTTCACTTTGTTCTACTACAAATCTATGAAAGTGAAAATAAAAATAATTATAATAAACAAATTATAAATCTAGCATATATATGATGATGAACACAAGGAATAAGAATACGGAGAATACTAACTAACCAGTGTTAAATCGTTCTCATTTGTGTGATATAGAAGAAACGAAGAGAATCGCGCTCCAATCGAATTTCGCCATTTCAAGAGAGCTAAGTGAATGCGGTTTTCTGCAGCAGCAAAAAAAATTGAATCATGCAATAAGAAAGAATAAAGAGGGAAAAGATGAAGATTATGAAATGGAACCTTGATGAAAGCGAGAGTTGAAGAGAAGCTCTGAAAATCATGGTGGATTGACGGTGACTCGATGAGGTGAAGAGGGTTTAACTGAATAAACCTACAGAATACAAAAGATGAAAAGGGGAAAAAAGAATTACACAAAAACTGTCTGAGCCCGGGTTCGAACCGGGGACCTCTAGTGTGTGAGACTAGCGTGATAACCGACTACACCACCCAGACATGTTGTGTTAACGTTGCTACGAATAATTATATATACTATTTCAAAAACTATAAACATTTACACATTTTTTTAAAAAAATATTTTCATCGGAATATTCAGACCTTATTATAAAAAAAAACATTTAAATCTTTTGAGATATGATGTTGAGTTTAATAAAATTTTATGTTTCATTCATTCTGGATATTTATTGAACTTAAAATTATTTTTTCAAGATGAAATTTTTTACTTTATATTAAAAAATATCCTTAAGGTATAAAGTTAATGTTTGATGAATTGTGGCATTTCTTTCTTTAGCTACGTATATAATATCAACAGAAAACATTGTTGAAAGGAATGTTATATTTAACATATATTCACGACCTGTTTTAATCTATTTTGTTTTTTATTTTTATTTTTAAAATATGTTTTATAAAATTGTTTAAAAAAATATATATTTTAAAAAAGAATAAAAATAACAAATTCTTTTGGTTATATAAATTTTCAAATCAATTTTAAAAATGAAAAAATAAAAATATTTATTTGTTAAACTAAATTCTATGATAGGACCGGTATTTATTGCCTCAAGTTTAATAGGATTTATTTCTTGCTATATCCTAAATAACTCGTCAAGTAAATTTCACTTGCGCATATGCATGTAATTATGAATACCACAACATGCAATAACTATAAGTCATTTCTAGAAAGTTTATAAGGAAACATCAACTTTAAAGTAGGAAATTTATTTTTTAAAACCCCAAAACAACACCCAGTTATCATCATTAAAGACAAGTGTCTATAACTAAATATCTCTTTTGAATTCATGGATTGTCTACCCTGGTTTTTATATCCTAATGCACGATACCTTTCACCTTTATACGGAGGAAGAAAACCCTTAGAACGTGGATATCCATAATCAATGAGATAAAACAAACCTTCATTAAGTAAAATGTATGTTTTTTGTTGATACTTGTTCCGGTCCTATATTTCTAATTCTTTCACTATGACATCTCTGTTGACTTTAACTTTGTTAGTAACGGGGCAATATAGCTTATAAGCACATGTACTACGGTAACCTATAAGCAACATGACTTTGCTTCTGTCATCCAATTTTCTTCTAGTAGCATCTGGTATATGTTTGTAACATACTGAACCAATCACCTTGAAATGGCTGACACTTTGCTTTCTTTCAGTCCACTTCTCTATAGGAACTACTTCATTTAACTTCTTGTTCGACATATATTGAGCACATATACTGAAGTAGCAATTGCTTCACCCCGCAATTGCTTAGGTAGATTCTTCTCCTTCAGCATGTTCCTTGTCATGTCAAACAAAGTTTTATTTCTCCTTTCAGCAAGATAATTATGTTGTGGAGTGTATGGAGCAGTCACCTCATGCTCAATACCATGTTCCTCACATAACTTCTTAAACTCTATTGAGTTGAACTCACCTCCACCATCAGTTTTAAGGATCTTCAACTTTTGTCCACTTTGATTTCTAGCATTCACTTTGAACTTCTTGAACACAGCAAACACCTCATGTTTAAACTTAATGAATATTACCCATATCATTCTTGTCAACTCATCCACAAATGACATAAAGTACTTGTTTCCTCCAAGTGAAGGTATCTTAAATGGCCTACATACATCAGAGTGCGCCACACCCAAAACATGAGTTGCTCTTGGAGGCATTTCTGATGAGAATGGAAATCTTGTTTGCTTGCTTCTCATGCACATATCACATGATTTATCTGGTGCCACTATTTTAGGAATTCCATGTACCAAATTCTTTGAACTCGAATGCCCTAAGCTTCTGTAGTTCATATGCCCTAATCTATTGTGCCACAACTCACTTTCCCCTTTAGCATTTCTTGCACTAAGACATTGAGTGTTTGCGGTTGCAATATTCATTTTGAATGTCCTGTTTCTTCCTAGTTCAGACGACATAATTAACTTCTGATTACAGTCATACAACTTCAAGAGATTATCTTTCATGATTGCTGAAAATCCTTTTCAATCAGCTGACCTACACTCACCAGATTGTTATTCATGCAAGGAACATACCATACATCCTTAATCAATACAATATTTCCATTGTTCAACTTAACTCTGACATTTCCCATTCCTTTAGCATTCAGAAACTCATCATCAGCACATCTGATCTCAGCCCTTTTACAAAATCAAAATCAACCAGCCATTGTTTGTTTCTGTTAGACGAAGGCAACTTATCTAGAGGGGGTGAATAGATCCCAAGTTTTAAAAAATAAAATTTGTTTTGCAAATTTTAATGGCTAGTAGAAGTGACCCAGATCGAATTGTCTAAACTGAACCACTATCAAAAAGCTCGGATATGCATATATGAAAACCAATCAAAGCAATAGGTCGGTCTATCAAGGTACTCAGGCCAGCCTATGAAGATCACAGGTCGACATGTGAAGGTTATGTGTTGCCCATGTGTCGGCCTAAGTGAGATGACCTATGGAAAGAGGCTACATGCTTTTATTTTGATCCATGGGAGCCAACCTGAAATTCCATGTGTCGACCTATACTGAATCTGAAATTTGTATAGGTCGACCTGTTTATGCATGTGTCAACCTGAAATGACTTGACCACCCAAAAATATGTTTTTTAATGCAATTTTGATGTAAGCTCCTTTTCAAACTCACTTAAATGCTTCCTAATACTAAGATGTTCATCTTGAATGAGAGGATATCGTCCAATATACATAACGTTACACTTTCCTAGTTTTAACATCACTCAAAATCCAAAAGATTCACATACTCCCCCTTTTTTATGATGGCAAAACATGAGACGATGCATTTTGTGACTTTGTTATTTTCAAGAAGACTCCCCCTGAATATGTGCATCCAACTTCAACTTGTGTATACTTCTCCCCCTTTAACAACACCAAAAAGAGAACAAGCAAACTATGAGAAGTATCATTAACCACATATAAATTTAAAATACTACACATAGGCAATTTTCAAAAAGAAGACTATCAACATGATAACACTCATATAGAATGATATACACATTGACTAAGAATGCCTAAACATAATTTCAAGCATATCAAGCAACAATGGAACACAATTGCTACACATAATTCCAAATAACATAACAAGAACATGAACAATGAAGGATATAATGCAATCACAAACTCTTGAGTTGCTACAAAAGCAACTCGATTACATGACATATGCTTTTGGCGCTCCCGAAATGCTGCACACACATGTGCTCTAGCAAGCATATACACGAAGTTATCACGACTCAAACCAAAACAGAGATGTTATCATTACAATGAAAATAACACCAATTCATTTAATATTATAACATGTTCAACCAAGGTTCATGCAAGAATACATAACAAGCCAAATGCACCAAGAGTATATTTCAAGCATATAGAAGGAATAACACAATATCACTATAAATATATAACTGACACAAATCAATAGAGATTTTTTGAAGTGAATATTGATGAACTACTTCATACATCAAGAATATTAGTCATTTTTTAACACTAGCAACAAGTAAAATTTAGAGACTTACTAAGCAAGAGAAAGAAAAGGAACAATATTACCTCTCACGTATATTGATGGACAATGGACTCTCATATGATGAAAATTCCAATGAAAGTTAAAGCAAAAATATATAAAGTGCATGCAACGAATCATATGGTATAAAAGATTAGAGATATCGAGTATCCTCAATTCCCTTCGTATGTTAAAAAATGATTCGATCGAAAGTGGTTTTGTGAAAATATCGGCAAGTTGATGTTTTCTATCAACATGCTCAAATACGATATCACCTTTTTCAACATGGTCACATAGGAAATAATGATGAATCTCAATATGCTTAGTACGAGAATGTAGCACCGAATTCTTAGTTAGATTGATAGTGTTATTGTTATTGCACCTAATGGGAATATGTTGTAAGTTTATATCAAAATCAAGTAATTGTTGCTTATGCCACACGATTTAGGCATAACAACTATCGGCAACAACATATTCCGCGTCGGCGGTTGATAAAGCAACAAAAACTTGTTTCTTGCTATGCCAACTCATTAAAGCATTTGAAAACATGTGACAAGTTCCACTAGTGCTCTTCCTATCCAATTTGCAACTGGAAAAATCAGAGTCGGTGTATCCAACCAAGTTACAATCGCTTCCCCTGGAATACCAAAACCCATATTGAGAGGTACCATGAAGATACCTAAGAATGTGTTTTACAGCTTTTAAGTGAGATTCTTTAAGCGCCGATTGATAAAGGGCGCACATGCACATACTAAACATGATATCTAGCCTAGATGCGGTAAAATATAGAAGAGAGTCGATCATACCTCTATATTTCTTCACATATACATCCTTACCATTTATATCCTTTTCCAAATTACCATTTGTAGCCATAGGTGTACCGATA